CATCCACTGCTTCAAGACCTTGTTAAGACACCTTTTTACCGGTATTTCAAGGTTTTTCTTTCTATTTATCTTCCTTGGTAGAGAGTTTGGATGTATTTTGTTATGATTAAATCTGAATCCATGTTTGTAGGTTAAACTATGGTGTGATTGCCATTTTGGCCTGATGATGGTATGTGCCGGTTAAGAGACTGTAGTGTTTGTGAATGCCCTGAGAGCGAATTCCCTGAGCCATTTAAGAACCCATTAAGCAAAGACAATCCTGATTGCCAAGAAGGGAAACCATAAGCTGCTGTTGACGGTACTGTAGACACCAGAGCTTTCACTGGTTGGACTGTCACAGACAATCCCTGGACTAGTGATGATGAAACTGACAATGGTATGCCTAGCTAACTTTTCCAAATTATCTTTGTGACTGTGGGTCTTGTGTAACTTTCTGGTACTTACAAACACTCTCTCTATATTACTCAGTCTGGCTCATGAGACTATGTGTAACAAGTACTGCTTTTCGTATTGAATCATATTGTGTTAGAGTTAGTCTTGATGATATAGTTATGATTGCAGAGTAAGATGAGACAGTTTTTACTGCAGAAAATCTGCTTCCACCACAGGTCCAAGGGCTTGTTGTTGGATGTGGAGGAAGAGAAAATAGTTCCGTGTCTAAACACTTTCTCTTTGTCTCCGGACTTGGGGTCAGACTCTATCTCTCCCTCTCAGCTTCTGCAAAGCTTTCTTCTCTTCTCCTTTCTCCCGCCGCTTCACCATGAAGAAAGTTGATCATTCCCAGAACTCCAGCCGTTAGATACATCATCGTGGTTCTTCTGGTTGCTTAAAGTAAAGAAAGGCAATACCAAGAAAATTGATTCTTCAGTTGTTTACACAGCGAGATGCTCGTTGAACAAGTCACCTGCTTGGACTGATACAATGAAGTTCCACACTGGCTACTATGAATCTGAGATTGTGTAATAACAGAGCTATCTGAACTGGGGAAAGTTTGTTAACAGAGCTATCTGAAATGGGTTATGAAGATTATTAAAGTTTGTTAACATGATCTTAGGACTTCTAGTGATATGTCAAAGAGCATGTTTTTTGATATTCTAGAATAGTGTGTGAATAGAATGGTTTGGAACCGTATAGGAGTCAAAGAACACTAGAAGTGCATTTGAGGAAACACCATCAAAGCTATGTGGACTATCAAAATAAACCTTGGGTACAGAGATCTCACGACAGGGATTGATTTATAAACTCTTATAAATTGGGTTATGAAGATTATTAAATTCTTATAAGCTTTTGAATAAACCCTTATAAATAGATGTATAAATCTTGTAAATTAATTTATAAACACTTATAAATAAATGTATAAACTCTTATAAATAGCTTATAAGTTCTTTTAAGTAATTTTATAAACCTTTTTAAATAGTTTTATAAATCCTTATAAATAGTTATTTAAATATTTATATGTGTTTTATAAACATTATAGATACATAAAGTTTATAAGCTCTTATAAATGATTTATAAAGCCATATAATGTTTTTGTAAACTCTTATAAATAAAAGGGACTTATGAGTAATGTTTTAATATGATTTATATTCCATACATATGCTCTTATTAACCCTTATTAACCCACCGTACTGATACAAAAGCGCATCGTGAATATCTAAATCTGATACTTGGAAGATGTTCTTACAATATACAATACAGTTGTCAAAGAAGCACACAGTCATAGACCTTCTTGTGTCCTAATTACCATGTAAACCCTTGCATGGTAACTATAGTTATAAGTTCTTGTACTGGTATGTTATAAGATACCATGCTTGAATGGGTTATGATTGTACATGTAGCAAATATACCATGCTCGAATGGGTTATAAGTTCTTGTACATGGTTTTATAAACCCTTATAAATAGTTTTATAAACCTTTATAAATAGTTATAAATGTTTTATAAACTTCATAAATGGTTCATACAAAGTTTTATAAAATCTTATAAAACTTTAAAATGGTTCATAACCGGTTTTACAAACTCTTATAAATGATTTATATACAAAACTATTTTATATATCCATATGATTGGTTTAATAAACCTTTATAAACATACATATTCGAGCATGGTATCTTGCTATTGGTAGTTCAGATCTTGGCTCAAATATTGGAATGACTGATTTATAAAAAATTATAGTAAGAAGTATAACTTATTTATAAGAACTTATAAAATTATTTATAAAGAATTATAAGTTTATTTAATAATTTTATAAAATTAATTTGAATTATATGAGTTATTAATGAGTTATTAGTGTTTATAAAGACATACAATGATTTATAAAGGTTTATAATTTGATTATAAGAGTTTTAAACATATTTATAAGGGTTTAAAAACTAATTTATTAAGGTTTATTTGTTAATTTATGAAATACTACTTATTAAACTAATATATAGAACATTCTGATTAACCACATATTTTATTTATAATGGTCTATAAGTTTGATTTATAACTGTTTATAAAACCTTATAAATTAGTTTATAAATATTTATAGTTAAATTATAGACTCCGGTATATGTTTTATAAAGTATTATAAATCAATTTATCAACCCTTATGAATCAATTTATACATTCTTGTAAATCAAAATATAATCTTATAAAATAGTTTATAAAATTTTATAAATCAGTTCATGAACTCTTATAAGCCTTTATAAATGATATATACTCTTTTATATATAATATATTAACTCTTGCAAATGTTTTATAAACCCTTATAGTTTATTTATAAATCCTTATTAATTATTTTTAAATTCTTAGTATTAAACATACATCCATGATGCTTTTAAAATTTTCTTTTAAGTAATTGAATGGTTTTGTACGCCCTTATATTTTTGTATAAACTCTTACAACTCTTAAAATGATTGTATAAACTCTTACAACTCTTAAAATGATTATATAAACTCTTACAAAATGATTTATAAACTCTTATGAATTGATTTATAAACCCTTATATGTTTTTTATAAACTCTTATAAATTAATTTATAA